CAAAACAAATTCGAGCCGAATTCCAAAATCGTTCCGATTGTTTGAAGAATCTGTTAGCGCGGAAGAGAGAGATGGCCACATTGTGCCGAAAACACGGCCCAACTGGCTTCACATTGTTGCGTAGCCGTGCGAACACAAAGCCGACGTGGAATGGAAACAGCCGTTTACGTGCCGCAAAGCGCAGTTTCTTGTAGCCGAAAGAGACAAAGGGTAATGAGAGTGCTGTTGCGCTTATAGACACGCACACGCCGGCACTGCACGTATGCCAAGTAATTAGGAGGATCCGCTTTATCGGACTTCACATTAGAATTAATTTCGGTCTCATTAAACGTGCAACGGAACTTACCTCCGATTCAGCGACAAAACAACTTGCGGATGAAGTACGCGTTGTCAGAAGCGCGATTCGACTTATCCTACAACAGCGTTGTGATATTTTTCTTTTTTCTTCTATTACTATGATATATAGTGTGGTCCATTTAAATCGAGCACCTTAAATATTTCGCTTGTTTTCAGTACAAAAAAATGTATAAAAAAAGATTTGCACCGTTCAAAGGGGCATTCACGATAACCAAATTTTTTTTTTCAAGAAAATTTTTTGTCATAATTACCTCTTCGAGTGAGGTGTAACTTTTTCTTTAAGCATTTTTTGTATCATCAGAAATGAATGAAACATTTAACATGTTCGATTTAAGCGGATTACCCTATATGTTCCCACCGAAATTTTGGAAGTGCGCATGTGTGATGATACGTGAAATTGTTGTGCTTGGTTTTTTTATAACGATCGATACACTCTCCGCACCAGCTATCGGAATTGTCGAGTATAACTTCCGTCGTGTTTTTAATCGACTCCATTTCCAAGCGTACGGAAATCTACATATTAAATGTTAGCATTACGCGTGGTTGGGATTTCACAGCCTGTAAGCGCAACGCGCGCCCATATTGAACGTCAGTATTGCAAACTTCTGTAAATTGCTTTCGCGTTTGACCGTCAATAGCAAGACTTCATCACTGCAAATCCGAAATGACTGCAGGCAACCCGTGATGGACTACCGACTATCAATGAACTATCAATTCCTTTATATGCACTTTCGCGATTCGCGGCCTAAGAAACATTATTAGACGGTAAAAATCAGTATTTGCAGAATTCACATTAAATTCTAAGGTCGATATTCATACTTGTAAATGTTGAATTATTTATGATCTTTGACGAGAGAACAGAATTAATTACAGATTCATATTCATCGTCGTTCTGCTATTTGGTTCAACATGGTTCAACGTGTATGAAACTGCAACAAATATAGGTACATGTTGACTAATAATTGAAGATTCATGAAACCATAATTACTCGTCAAATGATGACGGACTATGAGCGTCGGTCTAAATTTCGATTTAGGCATCGCTTTATTTTCGATAGGTTAGTCCGTTAGCATCCGTTAAAAACAAAAACTCGCTATACAATTCATGTATAAAGAACAATTGATGTTAAAAACACCGAAATTCTTATGTTACATTAACATGAGGAATATGTTAAAAAGTTCACAAATATATATTTAATTAATATATTCACATTGTTAACATATTACTTTTTAACATATTCACTTTGTTAAAGTAACACTAAAATTTAAATGAACCGTTTGCAATACAAAATTTTTTATTGTGTAATTTAACGCATCTGGAAATATGTGATGTATCGCTGCCTGTGTCGTGGCGTTCTGTGTCATCCAACCTGGCTTCTCGGTTTAGCATCTTGGCTGCTTTGTTGCACTGACACTCGCGTAAATGTAATTCGATCAAAGATACACATGTCGAATAAAGCCGACTTGAAAACTTAAATATTTCGCAAAGCTGACGAAATATTTTAATCACTCGAAAAGAATTATAACATACGTAGCCCGTGATACAGAAAATTTTATTAACACGTTCCCTGCCGCGTGGGGCATATGCGCCCCACGCTGAACTTTCCGTTCAAGCCATTTGGTATTATCATTGTAAAATGAAGAATTTTTTAAAAATTCATTATGCAGTCAATTATGGGCATCTTAATACTATTGCTGATGCACTCATTTGATCGTGGGGCGTATACACCCCACGCGGCGTGATAGACAATTGTAGTGAATTCATGGATTATATATAACAGTCTTACAAACCGAAAAATAATAAGCATCGAATTCCGAAAAAAATTAGCAATGAATCTGATGTTGTGTAATAATAATGATAATAATAATAATTCTCTACTAATTGGACCAAGAAGAAATCGACATGAAATTAAAAAAAAGGAAGGCCGCTTTAATTCGATAAGAAGGCGCTGCAAAATTTGTTACGAAAAAAATGTTAAAAATTTAGGTTCCCAATCGGCAAGAAACTGTACTGTAAAAGTTGCAACATTCTGCGATAGTTGTGTGGATAAACCACACTTATGTTTGCCATGTTTTAACAAAGTTCACCGTAATATCCCTTTGTGATTGTATACAAACTTGATTTCAATTAAAATGTTTTATTTTAAACTGATATAGGCATGATAAAAAAAATTATACGTGAGGATGCAACTCGCTTGGTAGAGTAATGTTCAGGTATTTGTTAAACTAATTCCTAGAAAAATTAATTTATTGGTTTGTTGTGTTATGCATTTTAAACTATACATCCTTTCCTTGATAATTATGATTTTTGCACTATTTTAATTATTGTTAGGCATACGCCAGAAACAAAACAATACAATTGTAAAGCGTGGGGCGCATACGCCCCATGCGGCCTGAACGGAAAGTCTTCAAAAAACGGTCTGGCAGAGAACGTGTTAATATAATTCTATTATAGACATAGTAACATCGAAAATTTCCAATCAGACGCATCATTTCTGAATATTTGTCCATCATAACTGCTTATTTGGAGCATCGTTGCCGATTTAACGAATAATCAACAGTCACGAATATTCGGACGTAATGTGCCTGATTGAAAATGTTTAATGTTAAAATTTTTGGCCGTCATTATACCTAAAGAATGGAATTGTACTAACGGAGTCTTCTGTATGCGTGTCGTTCGCTGGCTCGCAGCATAATGGAAACGCTCGGAAAAACACGCGACACACAAAGGTCGTTTTAACTGCCTGAAAGGTGTGCGGTGTTTTGATTATTGTCATCGTTCAGTAGTAGAGCGGCGCAAGTTGGCGATTATTATAATATAACGTGTAATTCTTTTTGTCTATTGTTTCAATGTGTGATGTATTTTCCCGTTACTGAGCGTTACATTTGCGCAAAATGTTTTGTCGGCTCTTGAAATATTTAATTGGACGGCATCGTGTTAATTAACACGTCTTTATTCCCATCGAATCGTACCTACATAAGTGTTAACGCCATAAGTTAGCATGCAGGACGATAGAGCAATCAAAAACAGGATGCTAAGATAAAGGATACAGGAGGCCAAAACACGAACAACGATATATTACGTGTATTTCTAGATATAAATATGTATTTTTAATACACAAATACATATATTCCCAATATCAATAATGAAATAAATAATAAAGATTATAAAAAAGAGAAACTTATTTTACTTATCGATTAGTTATATTTATATAGTTAATCTTCGTTAATCTTTATTAGATTATTTAACATCTGCTTTTTTATCATACATATTCTATCTACAAACACAGCTAAGTAAGTTACACAATTAATACTTTCCTCATTAAAATTAAGAATAAAGGTTAAATGCAGGTAGAATACTGACAGAACCCGGATATTAAATAATTCTAAAGTAAACCCTATTTTAAGGACAAATCAGCATGGAGGAAATAGCATTGAGTAATAATTTGTAACATCAAGGTAGATCAATAGCCTGTGTAGCATTGTGTTGCGAGATTTTTCTGTGGCCCTTCAAAAATTCAACGAAATTTGTAGGATTGGTGCAGAACCGAAATTTCGGCTCAGAGCACTCCGTCAAGATCATGAATTCTTTTACTTCTTACGATTCCAACTCCGTAAGTCCCGGCTCAATCAGGATGGCCAAACTTTATCGGAATAACCCGCACTGTACTTCCGAGCGTTAATCATATACACTCGCCTTTATTGTAACGAAACGGCGGGAGCTAATTAGGATAATTTCAGAAAGTTACCTCTAAATTTTACGAGAACGTCGGAAATCGTTACGTTAATATCCATATTCAACCAAGCAGTTCAGATTTCGTGCTCCTCGATGGATTAATAATTCCGACCGAGAATGGGGGATATAGCGAGCGCATATATATATATATGTGTACTTCAACGTATACATATGTATACGTGGCCGTACGAAGCCTGTGTGCGTGCACGTGTCTCGGAAGGACGTGCATACCCACGTACATACATACGCTATGTGTGTGTGTGTGTGTACATGCAGGGAGTGACAAGCAGCTGCAAATTTTCTCGAGTGAAGTAGCGGTTTGTCTCGTCCTCGCCGGTCCCTCGCATCTTGGCTTACCGCATTTTCCATTCGTCTTTCTACTCTTGAGAGATTCCTCTTCGCGAACGACGGCGGAAAATCGCGACGGGCGCAAACTAGCAACCCGCAGTCGACCGAAGGAACGCGCTCGCGTTTCTCACTCGTGAACGTTCGTTCCTGCAGATCGTTGCATTTGCATTTATGCGCAACTACAACGAGACGACGTTATCGCAGATCGGACCTGCATTGACCTTTCTCGTGGGTTACCTGGGTGACAGCAGCGCGCGGCACGAGGGACGTAAAATTGCTGATACAGAGCAAGAAATGCGTAACTGAGGCGTGTAGCGAGTTTTATCATATGAATTTACTGATCATGGTGTTTGTTAAATGGACACCGGATGGTCTGGTCGGATCGACCGGCATTCTTGGGCGCTTCAACTATCC